GGGGCAGGCGGGAATCGAACTCATGCGGAAGCGGCTTTAGCTTCTCAGTGCTGTGCTTTAACCCGCTGCGCCACCAGGGAGGGCCCAGGGCTTTTTTTTTTTTAAGCAAGTTTCAGAAGTACTGTTTAGAATTTTTAAAAAAGGAAAGATTGGCGTATATACATATTATGCATATATATGTATTCCCACTTAGCACGTGTGCTGGGCGCTTGGACAAAGGATGGCAGAGATCTGCACCATATAACCTCACTTATCTTTTCAATTTTATACTCCGTGACTATTCCCCCCAAAAGTGGGGGAAAGGGAGGAGAGAAACAGCAGCTCTGAAAGATGAAATGGAAAATGCAGCTTCTCCAAATGGCAGGAGAATAGCAGAAGGGCTGGCTGTGGCTTTTGATTAGTCATGAGAAACCTGTGGGAAGAAAATATGTAAACAGGGGGTACAGACCAAACTGTCCACCCCCACAGCGAGAGGTCTGTTTTATGTTCTCACTTACACTTCCAAATTACAGGGGGTGGGGGGGAATAAATATAAAGAAATAATCTTATAATTAGGAGCAGAGAATGTTGGAGACGGTGAGCGCTGGGTGACGAGCTGGCCCGCCTGGCCCGTGTTTTCAGAAGAGGAAATAGCAACAGAGGTGATTCTCCCCAAAGCGCCCCAGCTGGTGGCTCGACAGCGGCCGGCCCAGAAGCTGGCTCCTTCCCTGCTCTCCCACGCCTGCACTCCAGAGCATACAAGACTACAGAGTTGATATTTCGCGGCTGCCTGGGAGTGCCAGGCTGGATTCTGTGTGAACAGAGATGTGGCCAGCATCTACCCCAATGCCAGAGTTTATGCATCCGGCCAGATGTGCCAAGATGTAGCCACCTTCTGAGGACATGATCAAGCACGGATACTGGTGGCAGGCACGGTGAGAAGGGGCAATCTCGGAACCTACACAGGGTTGCCAATGAATGTTATCTCAAAAGAAAAGTGAGCCAAAGGCCAGAACAGTGTGCAGCTGAAGCAGGAGGCAGCGACTACTGGGTGGCTCGGTCCCTTATGCCAATGCCTCGGTGCTTTTCTTCCTCAATTACACAGCTAAGAGACATTTGCTTAGTGAGACAATAGGGAGCACAGCCCCGGACACGCTGTGGTAAGTTAAATATCACATTGTGTTCCTTTTCAAAGCATGACTTAAGACCTCTTCCTCATTCTTTTCATGTACTCTACCTTAAAATCTCAGCCACGTCCAGTTCTCTCACTTTGATTTTTTTTTCATCACCCTCTTAATGCTGACACTAGGAACTCCAGTGAAAACCTCTTTGAAACACAAGGCTGGGGAAAGGCTATTTGAGCACACGAGATTTCATGGCAGAGTGCAGTTATTAACGATGCTCATTAGTTTACATCTTATTGCTAAAAATGCTTCCATCCACTTTGGTGCATTAATAGAGCCGTGTGCCGAGCATCTCAGCGCTGCTTGGTGACCCAAAGCTCCCCAAGAACGGTGGTGACAGGCCGGAGTAAAGAAGGTATGGGGACACCTGCCTGGATGCCCTCTCAGGCCTTCCCTGGACATCAGTTTTAAAAGAATCTCCGTATACACACAGGGAGGTGATTTTATTTCCACCTGCTTCAAAGCCTCCAGTGCAGTGAAGTAAATCCAAGGTTGATGAGTTCTAGGGGGTGCTATCTGATCCGGCAGCCTTTGTCATGTGGCTGGCCCCTGCCAAGAGGTGCTTCAAGTGTAAAATGGATGCTGGGTTGCAAAGAGTTAATCTTAAAAAAAAAAAAAAAGTATTCATTTTTAATCTGGATCACATGTTGAAATGAATTAAATAAAATGGTCCTCAAATGAATGTCACTTTTTTTTTACTTTTTAACCTAATTTTTTTTAAAGATTTATTTGTGCATACAGAACTGGGGTACAAGCCAGAGGTGCAGGGGTGGTGAGAGGATTCACCAGTGACAAAGTGGGGAGCAGAACAGGCTGACTGACAAAGTGCACTGCTGAGGGGAGCAGCGGGCGGGTCAGGAGAGGTCTGCCGCGCCATGTGGGTCACCTCCTGGGCTAGGAATCAAACTCACACTGAAGCGACTGCAGCTGGCTTGCGGTGCTGCGTCCTAACCCGTTGTACCACCAGGTACGGCCCTAACCTAATTTAAAAAAAAATTAATTACATAAGTGGCTCACCTGTGTACTCACCTCTTCTTTCTCTGAGAGAACACTGTTCTAGACTGGAGGTCCGCACCCTTTATGTGAAATACGGCCACATGGTAAACACTGTAAGTTTTTAGGCCACTTGAGTCCATCACAGCCACTCACAGCCACGATGGTATCAAGAAAGCTGCCAGGGAGTCCGGGCTGAGCATAGCTGGCACCCAGTACAACTTTGTTCACAAAACAACAGCTGT